AATGGAAACACAGCATTTAAATGGGTTTTAGGCAAAAATCTGGCCCTGCCGGGGCTCTTGGCTGTGATGGGAGCTTCTTTGAGTCTCTTTCACTTCCTAAAGTCTTTTTACACCCCAGGACTTCCTAGTCAGGCACAGGGTTAGATTAAAATAAAGAAAGAGAGAAATTGCAGTGCCATGCACTCCCTTCTGGAGGCCAAAAGGCTTAGTTTCAGCAGCCCTGAGAAAAAGACCAGTGATGATCTCCAAGCCAAAAAAGAGCATCAACACAGAGCATCAGTTTTCCCTTCAGGAGGCCAGAAGATATGCCTGATGGGGGAGGTGGGGGGCAAGGATGCAGGGAGGAGACAGCCCCTAGGAATAGGCATCTACCCCGTCCATGCAGGACAGCTGTCTCCTCACAAAATAACCTTCAGGCATGTTGATTGAGAAATGGAAGTGAAAATGGGATTGCATCAGCACATCCCCAGCCTCTTCCTGGGGATTTTCTCAACTCTTAATTCCTGTAACACAGATTCAAAGCAGGAATTTACTTTTAAACATGGGCATTAACCCCAAAAGCTCCTTCTGGAGAGGACTGAGCCTCCCTTGAATTTTCTGCAAATGCAAAAAAACTCTCAGCTTTGATGAAGCTGATGAGACTCTCCTGGTCTGACTATCAGGGTGAACCAGAAGAACAGATCTGTGCCTGCATAAGGAGAAAGAAATACAAGGGAAAACCTAGAGTTGGTTCCAGTCTATAATATCCCCAAGAGAAGCAAGTGCCTTGCTGCCTTCTGAGAACTAGAATTAAAGGCATGTATCAAACTGCAAAGCAATGCACAGGGAAGATCCAACAGACTTACAGGGTAGCAACCACTTGTGAGCAGAAACGGAGCCAAACGGCAGAATTTGGATCCAGATTTCAATTGCCTCAAAGGTCAGGAGTGTCGAGACCTCCAATTTCAGCCCTGCCCTTTAGAGACGTAGTCCAGTTATGGAAGCCGAGCACGGGATGAACCTCACCCAAGTTCAAAGCTGTTCAGAGCAGGAGTATGGGTTGGAGCTTACCTCCCACTCGGGGACCAGGAGCCAAGTACATTTCTCCTGGCTCCTGACAGATTCATGGAACAGAAGAGGCAACGTAGGAGAGCAAAGGGGAGTGGGAGAGGGAACAGAGCTGGCACAGGCAGGCAGGGAAGTGAGACAGGGCAGCATATTAAAGCTGGGTAGATGGAGAAAGGCAGAAGAGGAGCCTGGGGGAAAGCAGTGGTTCGATGGGCCTGCAATGCATTACATGGCACCTCCCGCAGGGGTGAAAATGGAGGATGCCCAACAATGCACTTGGTCTTTTACTGCTGAGCTGAAGCGGAGACAGGAGCCAGCAGCGTCTGTCTCCCGAGCAGCTTGGAGCTGACAAGTGGCTGATCTCTGCGCTCCCTGACAAGCAGCAGGTCGGCCTCCTGGCATCTCCACGCCAGCACGGAGGCAGCCTGGCGGCCTGAGCTCTGGTACAGGGGAGTGGGGAGGCGAGCTGTGAAGATGGGAGGCACGGCAGAGAGAAAGAAAGGAGGGAGACGAGAGGAAGGTGGGGTGGCTGAAAGGAAAAGAGGCAGAGAGAGAAGGGGGCCTAGTGCCAAAGGCACAGAAGAGGGGGGACAAGGCAGACAGAAAAGGCAGGTGAGTGATACAGGAGGGAAGGCAGCTCTTAGATGGACCAGGGAAAAGTGAAAAGCGCAGAGCAGGAAGACAAGGAGATAGGAATGAAGGGAGAGAGACTTGGAAAGGATTTCAGTGCATTTACCCACACGCACACCCAAGCACATAGACACTCAGGCAAGCGTGTCCAGGCCCAAGTGTACCCGCCAGACAAGTTCTCTCTTCCTGCAGGCCTGACCTCATCCCTGCACCTGCCCCCCAACCTCCTCAGCCCTGCCAAGGTGCCAGGCTGGAAGTCCCCTCTTCCATTCTGTTTTCCTCATAGCCACATCCATGATTTTTTCCAGGTTTTTTTCCAGGTTGCTCCCTCACCGGCCGGGCAGACAGCACCCACTCTGCTCCCCTCAGCCCTCTTCCAGCTGTCAGACCCCTTCAAACATCTCACTTCTCCAGCAATGCCTACAAGAAAGGCATCAACAGATCACTGGTCATTTCCTCTGCTGGGCTGCCCGGCGGACCCTGTCTACTGGGCTGGGGCACGTTGCCCACTCTGTTTGTACAGCGCCTAGCACCAAGTGCGTCTAATACTGACAGGGTCCTGTCAGCCTATTGCAAACAGGCACAATGATATGGGAGGTAGACTTACCATGTGTTAGCTCTCTTGCAAACGCACACCTGAGATAGACAGGGCCTCACCTGCGTAGTAACATTTCTACTGTCTAAGATACCTATGTGGCCTCAGAACCATATAGTGTATGAACACCCATGGTCTTTAATGTGCGTTACCATCTCAGCACCTCTTGTGATATCTGCTGTGCTGTTATGTAGATAGGGGCATGGGGAAAAGGAGAAGCTAAGGCAGTAAGGCACTGGGTGCTGTCTGGGCGCTGCAGCATGATGTTAGCACCATTAGCTGTGCAAACATGAGTCACAAGATAGGACCCCAGAGTGTCACCACTCTAACCTGCGGTAGGCTTTCTGAGTTGTTTGAGATGGGAGACTCACTCTTGTATTTTGCCATGGTCAAAAAACAAGGGAAAATTTAGGAGCTGGCATTTTCTAAGGGACGTCACAAGCCTAACAGAGGGTACGTTGAGTCTAAAAAGATTGAGACCCACTGGGTTAATCGATACTCCAGAGGTTACCCAGAGAGTTTGTGGCAGGACAAAGAAAAGTACCCATGTCTCCCATGACCTGACTTAACATGACAACTGATGACCAGCCCCACTTTACAGCTGCATTGCATAGATGTATTTGTCGAGCTCTCACATTTGATTCAGCTCCTGATGAAAACAGTGGGCAGATTCTTATCACCTGGGCCAGGGGCAGGTCCATAAGGAGTCAGGCATTGGAGAAAGCAGCCATGAAATGACTGTGCTACGCTGGAAACTAATTTTACCCCAATTGTAAATCAGTATTGCAACATAAGCCATTGGCTGGCTGCATAATCAACAGATAGGATTGTACCAACACTACATTAACACTGATCTCATGGGCTTTCCTTGCCTGGAATCCCCCTGCCTATTTCCTTTTCAGAAGCCACTAAAAATCACGGAAACTACCACAATAACCACATTTTATGCCCCTGCCCGATGCCAGATGGCAGGTACCAAAGTTCAGTCTCTTACCCGCCTCTGCTGCGCACCCCATCTCTACCATCGTTCTCCAACTATTTAAGTTGGTCTAGTAAAAGATACCAGATTCACCCAAAGATCCTTGTCTGCCCACCTCTACCAGAGCTTTTCCCTCGTGTTCTCTAAACGTGCCTTCCCCCGTTGTTGTGTGAAAGTTTTGCTCAGACAGAAGGGGGAATTGTAGTATTCCCAGCACACTTAAAAATCACGAGACAGGCCACCTCCAAGTCAGGGAGCAGCTTAAAAGGGTAAGATCTTTGTGAAAAACACTTGGGGATCTCTTGAATTCTCTTCTCCGGTTGTCCAGAGTCAGGACATTCCCAGAGGGGAACCGGGAGGACGAGTGCCCTAGAGACTGGTACTCGGGTCCCACGGTAAAGAGGAACGCCTGAGTCCTTAAGAGACAGCACCGCAGACTTCATCCTGGACCCAGCCTGCGGTGTCTCCAGGGGAACATGCATGGCTACCTGCTCTGGCAGGTCTGCTGCTCGCTCCTGGGCTATAGGCTGTGCCTGCCGTAGCAACTCCCAGGGTGCGCTCCCGAGGCACCCGCCTGCTATAGCAGCTTCTGCTGTGCTCTGTCAGACTACATGCCTATTCTGCTGTGGGGGGCTAGCTTAGTACTGCAGCCTCTGCTGTACGCAGCAGGGGACCTTCTCTGGAAAACAATCCTACCCGGCTGTGCAGCTGCCCTCCCTTCCAGGGGCACCCGCTATCTCTTCTGCACGCATCAGTTGTGCCTTTCGCACCCGTTCCATCTGTCAAGCTGTCTTCTTGCTGCATCCCTTTCTCCATCTCTAACATGGACCCAGCAGTCCTTGTCTGTCTGTCTGATCTGTCTGTCTTGATCCCGCTCTCTCTCAATCTGAGCGTACACCTAGGCAAGCAATTAAGAAAAGACACACACGGTTACACACATGCTTTTCCAGCTTATTTCTCTGCTTCCAATCCTCCTTCGGGTACCGTCTGTTGTTATAAGCCCCTGTAGTATTTTCCTTCTTGGCGTGCAAATAGATCGGGCTGCAGATCCAGAATTCCTGGTTTTCAATGAGTTTGAAAGGTCATTTGGGAGTGGGGGAGGGGCAGAGGGGGGAATAATCTGCAGCACAAGTATCCAGGAATTTCTCTTCTCCTTTAACTCTGTCTCCTTCCCTGCCTGCCAAAAACGCTACCTGAGATGTGGAACATCCTAACAATAAAATCTCGGACAAAAGAACAACAGCAAGCATTAGGATTGTGCCGCTGCGTTCAGTTCACGCAACCCAAATTCCTCTAAGGTTTGAGTTGGAAGCAGGGAAAGAAAGCACATTTTGTTGGGATCACCGAGATCCTGCTCAATACAACTGTTTGTTTCCGAGGTGTTTCCCACTTCTTTGCCTTCCGAGCCAACCTTATCCCCACATGCACGGACTAGAAACCAGAGCCAAGCAGGGATTTTGCCTTTCACGCACAATCTCCTGCAAAATTAGGTAATGCAAGAGAAAGCAGAAAAGGCACAGCACGGCTAAGCCAGCTGTTGAGATAAGTTTAACTGTTCACTTTGGATGCTGCATTTTCTCAGAGCTGTTTACAAGGGCTGGAAAAAAAAAAGACTTTTAGTCATAAAATCCCCAAGGCAGACGATCCTGATGTTCCACAAAACCACTTTTTCATTTCGCCCTGTTTGGGGGGGAGAGAGAAATACAGACAGACATTGAGTGAGAGAGAGAGAGAGGAGGAGGAGGAGGAGAGAGAAAGTGAGCTCACGTTCACACATTGGTAAAGAGGCTGGTCTTGCAATGCCTTTGAATATTTTACTTTTAGTCAGTTCCCCATCAGAGTCAGAGTCATACATCTATGCTGAGCTGAAGCAAACTACAGCAATGGACAGCACTAGAAGATTTGAAATCTAATCTCATACATTATATCTCCTGGATATTTTTTTAATTACGTACCCCCCACACACAAACACAAGCGCGCGCGCACACACACACACGCACACACACACGCAGACGGTATCACCCACACTACCACAGAACAAACACCTATTCTGTCCTCACGGATACACACACACGAGCGCGCGCACACACACATCTCTCTTTATCTCCTCCTGGCTTCCTGGAGGATTGTGCCGGCTGTTTTTCATGGAGAAAGTCCAGGGAGAAATGGAGATTGAGAGATGGGAAAGGAGTGAAGACATGTCAGACGCTGAGAAAAAGGTGATTCAAGAGACCTGGAGCAGAGTATATGCCAACTGCGAGGATGTCGGGGTCTCCATACTAATCAGGTATTTAAAAAAAAAGAAAAGAAAGAAACAAAGCGAGCAAAAATAATAATAAAATCAAAATGAAATGAGTGGTGGCTAGAGGGGAACTGTTCTCAGTAATTATTGGCTCTGATCAGGAATGATTTCACAGCGCTCCTGATTTCAATATGCTATGGGGGGGACCCTTTTAATATAGTTTGTGGGAATCAGTATTTCAATTGGAAAGGTCACCTTATACTCTGTGGCTGGAGGTGGGGGGAGTGTAGGAGGAGGGAAGAGCTGTACCGGGCGCTGCTCAGTGGTTTCTACTTAGATCCTTGCTGATGGCATGGCATATACCAGGGTCTTGGGTGAAATCCTGCAACTCGCAAGCCAAGATGAAACCAAAACAGGTGTGTCTGTGATGCACCATCTGTTTGTCGAACTAGAGCATCAGTTATAAAGAACAATGCAGAAGTTGGCTGCTAAGGGTGGTCGGAAGGTCATTAGCAGGACTGTGGGTGGGGGCGATGTGAAAATAGGTCTGTGAGCTTTGGATGCACAGAACATTTTTGCACTGGGAGCGGGATGTGGTGACTACCTTAGGGACTACCAGAGACCTGCAGGTAAAGGGAGTGGTGTTTGTCAGAGGAGGGAGCTGGGGGGAGGGGGTGTCATTTCAAGCAGATGGACTGGGCTGGAGGGGTTGTTTCCCCTTTCAGCAAGCGCTTCACTATTCATTGAATGTTTGACTGTATTTTTGTGCTCCTGAACCTCTTGATATTCCCTGGGGACAGCACAGCCTCAGGCAGTCTTGTCTCAAGCCCTTTGGCTCCCCAAATGAGAAGTCAGGGGAGGAAGCCTGGTGTAGAGGAGAGGACGACAAGGCCTTGGGTTTCAGGGGAGAGGAGGAACTGCGGGAGAAGCCAGTGATGGGTGGGCAGGTGGAGAGGAACAGCTACAGACAGAAACAATGACCAGTTGCCCCTTGAGCTGAGCAAAGATGCCTGCTATATAGACTTGAACATAAACCTCCTGCTCTACACACCTGCAAGCGCTGGGGGGAAGCTGCCCAGAGCCCCTTTTTTGGCCACTTTAGCCCAAACTAAAATCCCCACTGTCTTAACACTGGAGTGTTTGAAATCCAGGTGCAAACCTTGCTCTGGAGAGATCAGCCTCAGGACCGACCCCTGCTCCGAGAGACACTTGGCCGGATGCATTTCTCACTAGTACGAATCTGAAAGTTTCCTGGGAGGGGGGGCCACCCTGAGCCTACGGGAGCTGCAGGGTCAGCAGAGATCCCATGAGATGTGTGGGCAAAGCCTGCTGGCCCCTGTCCGTCTGATTGCAGGCATCTGAACAAGCGCTCCCAATGGGACTCTCCTGGAGGGGGCTACTTCCAACGAAGAACCACCAGCCATCCCTCAGCCTTCTCCGTGTAGGAGCTTGAACTAGTCAGGTGTATTCCCTGCCCAGAAAGCCCCATCCTGGGGGATCTCCTGCCCTAGTTAATGTACCATTCGGGCGAAACCCTGGCTCCACTGAAATCAGTGGGAGCTTTGCCACTGCCTTCAGGCAAGGTTTTTGCTCCAGCACCTCCATACATCATTTCAAAGCACCAACCTCTCCATCCCCCGGGATCTGCACTTGAATCGCGTGCCTGGTTCTCCTGCCCCACTTCCAGCAGGGGCTGAACCCCAGCCCCAAGGCCCCACAGCACTGGGCAAGGACAGATTCAAGTTGGGTTGACCTGAGCCACAATGAGGAGGCGGGAGGGGAGTGGGACGTGCTGAGGGGCTGTTCTGTGAAGAAGGGTCTCCGAGCTCTGGCTGGAGGTTTCTTGATGGTCCTCTCGGCTCCAAAGGCTCTGGCTGTTTTTTCTATGACTGCCTTCTGCTTGCCTGACCTTGCTGCGTGCTGCTACCTGCATGCTCACAAGTACCCAGCATTTTCCACCCATGAGAGTTAGGGAAACCCATACTGGATATTTACTGCAGCTTTTCCCATCAGTAGAAGTGAGACTGAACACTTCCAGCATGGAGGGGGATCTGAGCCCTATCATTTGGCCCCACTCTGTCCAAAGCAGCCTTTGCTCCTGATTCAGGGCTGACTCTTTTGACACCTTTCTTCTCCTCCAGGGCAACTGATGGGTGGTGTTGAAGCAGGGAGTCTTGTTCTTAGGATGCTGAGGGGAGAGGAGCAGCTATGGACACCTGATTGATGGAACATGGGGTAGTCATTAGTCACGCAGCGTTGCAAATGTCCTAGACTCCTGTCCTCAATCTCCTGCTGAAAGGCTGCACTGGAGAGTTCACCTTGGCACCTGCAAGTGGACAGAACTGTTCCAGTTCATCAGTGGTTTCAGGGAGGGTGGGTACGAGGCATGGGATATGTGACACAGGCGCGAGCATCTCTGCGATGCTGCATGCATGCGCAGCAAGTGTAGCTGACACACCAAGGGGGCAGGAAGGTGGGGGTAGGAGGAGAGGCTAACAAGGAACACAGGAGAAGAGAAGAAAGCAAAGCCTGTGGTCATCACAACAGGCAGAAGCCCTGGAGAGCCAAGCACATTGCTTTGGCTGTCAATGTGCTGTAACAAAAATCAAGTTCCAAGTAATCCCAATGATTCCTGAGAGAAGCAAGGGGTCAGAGAGCATCCTCAGCTTTGGGTTTGCACAACAGCCTGAAAAGCAATCAGGACAGGGGAAAGGGAGACAGGCACAGAGAGGCCCTCGCTGTAAACTCCTGAGCTGCATCCAAACTTTCCCAATGTCCCGGGCTGTTTGGAGACCCAGGCCATTGCTTGATGCTTAATTCTAAATGTCCCAGAACTGCAGGCTGGGGTTTCCTTGTCATTGTCCCCAAGGGAGTGCCAGCTAACAAAGCCAGAGCAACTGGCTTGGCAAAGAAAAGGATTCCCAGGGAGGCAGGAGCTGGGTGGGAAAATGCGTTAATTAAAACTTAGCACCTGGGATTTACGTAGGTAGATTTGGGGTTGTATGGCTGCCTTTCTTGCCAGCCAGAGCTCTGCCAAGATACCTGTGGCAATGGGAGGGAGGTGGGGGTGTAGGAAAGAGCAGGAAGGGTTCTAGGTTATAGCAAGTGACCCATCCTTTTTTCCCTGGTGCAAAAGCAAAAGATCACATTTGTCCCTGTGACATGACACACTGCAGGTGACTCACAGCTCCCTCACAAAGGCCATCTATAGATGCTAATGCACAGCCTTCACCCCATGCTGGAGAAGAGGGCAACCAGAGGGACAGCAGAGGACGGGGGTAGGGCTGAGTTCTAAGGACAGATTAAGAAGCTCCAAAACTGAGAGCGAATCCTCCTTTCCAGGGATCGAACTGGCTCTCAACTGAGCTTTCACACCGTTCTCACCCTAGAACTCCCCGGGGAAATGTGTGCATCATAAAAACAGGACAGCCCTGGCTTCACTTGTCAGTACCTGTGTTAACGGCTCTCCCCCGGCTGACTCCGGCACGCCTTCACATTTCACAGCTGGCATCAGCAGTAGCTCCCTCCAGGAGAACTAGGTCATGTGTAGAGGCTGCTGGCAGGCCCAGGGGGGAAAGGAGATGGAGTCACGCTTTGCTTTTACTTTCTCATAAATGATTCAGCAGCTCGACAACTACAAGGGTCACAGTGTTTTGGCTTGTTGGTACGCTCAGACCATGTGCAGCCACCGTCCTGCTCGTGTGCATGGGCAAAGTGACAGCCAATCTGTATCAGAGAGCATGCGGCCCACCCGTACAGGTACAGCAAGCTTTCCCAGCCCACTCTCTCCAAATTGCTGGGGGAGTTACAAAGCAGGCAGAGCATCGGCCTCTGTGTATGGAAACTGAGGCACACACATTTGATCAAGCAGGCTGTTGCCTACAAAAGCTCATACCTTAGTCTCCAAGGTGCTGCCCTGTCCTGCCTTCTGCCAGAGGCAAAATGCGACTTGGATAAGGACATCCAGTGACTTGGTAGCAGATGGCAGGCAAATAAATTGCTCCAGGTCCTATTAACGGCAACCCACATGCTGAATCCATTAAGGCAGACAGGCCAAAAATAAGCAGCTGCGCTTGTTGCTCATTGTTCTCAGGGTCGAGGAGCAAATTTAGGGTTTGTCTTCATGCCCTATGCAAAACTGGGACCTGTTTCTGCCTCTGCCTCACCTTTCCCATTCAATTATCTGCCTCTGTCTGGAATGGGCAGGGGCAGACTCTGTGCCTGGTTCTGCCATTTGGAAATGGCTTAGTTCTTCACAGACACCCACAGAGATGCGCTGTGCTAACAAATACAAGGCCCAGGGCTGGAGCTAGCAAAGCCAAGGGGAGGTAGCCACTGCTTTCTATGACAGACCCAGAGCCAGAGGAAGTCTGGGAATGTCTGATGCACAGAGACAAGTTATACAAACGCATGGCGACAGGCCCGGGTGCCGTGGCCTTATGCCCTGAAAGAACACGCTGTGTTTGCAAACCAGCTCAGCCAGGTAGGAAACACAATCCCCAGGCCAGAGGCCAGGCACTTCTTTTGGAAACAACGAGGCACGCAGGCCGCGGCCCTTTGGCAGCCCAATGAGAGGGCACAGGTGGGGCTGAAAGAGGATGAGGTGACTTGGTATTTTTTGGTGCATGGCAATTATTTACCCTAAAATGCTGTTCGACTGGAAGGGAGGTGCCGATAACCCAATAGCTCTGAGTCCTGCCCTGCGGCAAGAAATAGCTTCCTTCTCCTTCTGCCTTGGTCAAAGCCCCTTGGGTCCTAGCACACGCAGTCTGCTCCTCCTGGCTCCTGCTCTGGGTAGACAAGAAGCTCGTGATTCCAGGTACAACCCAAGGCTGCTTTCCCTGGGCCATCCCCACCTGATGGAGGGGTCAGCTCTCGGCGCTGATAGCACAGACCAGGGGTCCTGTTTGAGACAGGGTAGCTGGGAGCTGGCTGCCGTACTGTCACACTGCTGACTGGCCCCCGTACGTGACTCAGACGTGTATATGCTGTGGACTTGGGCAACTCACTTCACCTCAGCTTCCTCTCCCATGGGTGGTATGCCC